CTACTCAACTTCTCACAAATTCGATGGTCCATCATGTTCAAGAATTTGCGGGGAGATTGCGCGCCATGTGGGGCGCGGCGGAATTTCCAGCTGGGAATTCTAGCCAAAGAAACCTCCCAACGCAGTATATGTCGACAAGAAGCAAACAAACACATGCCTCCTAGCCATAACAAGGCTTTGAGTATCTCCATCTGGGGAGAGGCCGCAAACAAGTACAAGTTGATCAAAGCAGTTGTCAAAAGCTGCAGCTCAGCGGGAAGAATGCTGGTCGTCAACAAAAAGTCTAAAGTGGGTATCAACGCTTGATGCAAAGGGAAAAGAAGTATTAGAGACTCGGCGTCGAGCCCGCGAAGCGTCAATGGTTTGGGTACAGTATTGTCCAAGGAGAAATGCTCGGAAACGAGAATGGGAATCATAGAGACCATCCAATGGAGGTTATCGAATCCATTCGCCCGATTCTGGAACGGTATAATAGGGGTTGGTAGAGAGGACAGGCTGAGGATGATATTAGGCATGATAAGTGGCGGGAGATGGTTGGACAGCGATAACGAGACGAAGATGGGGATAAGAATCGGATAGAGAAGGGGGGCCGGATCGAAGCTCGCGGGTATTGAGAAGTATGTCCGTTTCGTGGACCAGATGCGCCAAATGCGCCAGCTTCGGCCCTGTGATGCACGAACAGCGAGCGGATAGCTGGCATAGAGACCCAAGACCACGAGGGCATGAGCAGCAAGCTCTGTATATCAATTAGCGCGCCCCAGATTTTTGGTAGCAATATCAGTTTCCCCATACCCTTTCTCCATTCCCAAGCTAAGGAGCGCGCCCGGTCTTGGTACAAGACCACGCCACCCACAGACAACAAAAGTGAAGCCTCCAACAACCGCCGGAGAACCTCCACCCGTCTCTGGCGCCTGAACCTCAGTCTCTCCTCAAAGGCCTCTTCCTCAAGTTCTTCCTCCGAGCTCCGCCGCGACGTCCGCAAAATAGGCCGCACAAATGACGGCCACGGTTGCAGACTTGGCAGCCAGTAATCGACCTCAGTGAGACCCACTCCACCAGATCGTAGGCCTTTTCGAGGACGGAGGGGCGGGGCAGGTAATCCCCTTAGAATACCGGTGCTTTCATCGTCTGCCTCTGTGCCACTGTCGCTGGTTGTTCGTGAGGACCTGGAGTAGGAGGAGAGCGGGTGGAGACGGTCGCCGTCTGAGGGAGTGCATGATCCGAGGCGTCGACTTCTGTGGTATGGATGGGGGGAGCGATTAAATAATCGGAGGTCTTCGGCGAACGCTTCGGGGTCCAGAGGTGTACTGGTGCGAAACGTCGCTTCTTGTTCTTCTTTCCACGGCGAACTCATGGCGCCATGCTTATGTCGATGAGTACGTCATGCCGCGGTGGGATAATGATGTACAATGTATGGGGAGGATAGTATAACGTCCAGAAAAAGAGCAGGGTAACTAACAATTTAGTCCCGTCAAGTTCGATGGCGGAGATATTGAGAACGTGGCGGAGGCAGAATGACACTGTTATCTTTTCCTGAATGCGGAAAGGATTTTGCCTTATCACATGCGAGCGGACAGTGCGTACATCGATCATCGGTGGAGTAGAGCATCGACGTTTTAACGATCTTTTGACCCCTAAATATTATTTCATCTGATCTTTGGTTAAATCGAGTGGCTTTATTCGTTGTGAAATAGTCCCTAACTAAACTGCTGCAGGACCACACCTGCACTCAACCTTCGTCCTTCTCGCCCCCATACTGATCTGCACGGCACAACCTGCACTGGCCACGAAGCTTCAGGCACTGGGTATGTGGTATATAACACAGCCTGAGACAGACTGGAATCTCGACAGTAAGCCTCTTTCACTGATCTCAATATTTGCTTCAATGTATCGTCCGACGAACCCGCGTCGATCTCGATATTGGTATACTTGTATTGACTGTCCATGGTGGTGGAAGATGTCCCCCCTTTAATGTCCAGCTTGACCTGCTCGCACATGCCTCCTAGACCTTGCCATTCAATATCGCTTCCTCGTGGTAGTTCATCCACTTGGACAGCCAGGAATGGTGGAATGGATGTGTGAGACTCAACAAGAGCAGTGAACTGGGGCAGACTGGGCACAGGGGTATCGGTCAGCTCCTCTGTGCGACGGCCATATTTGATATCCCACGCATCCAGCTGTGGCCCATCGTCATCATCCTCGTCCTCATTGTCAGGTAAAGCATGCATTCTTTCCCAGAGGCGCCATGCCACTTGCGCCTGGGTATTAGCGTGGTCGCCACGAGCCAAGAAGGCCACCGCACCGAGCCACCAGTTTACCTGCATGGCTTCACCAATTCTCCAGAGATGCTGAAGGGCCAGTACAGCTCGAAGACGGTAATTTTCAATCCATGAACTTGACCCCTCGACTCGCGCCAGGTCCATAGAACCAGGATCTAGAGGAATCTGGCCAGCAATGTACACAAGTCTGCTATCGTTCTGCAACGGAACTGACAACGCTTGCGAATATGGTCCAATATTTGCGGGCGCCCAGTATGACCTGGATTGAACATGCAGGGCCTGGCGCCGTTCCCTTGCACCCAGGTCCACCACAAATGTGACCATCACCTTGACGTTAGACGGGAGACGGTCTCCACATGCCACTGTCACTCGCGCGGGGGGATTGGGCTTCTTGAATAGCGAGACGTAGATGTCATTCATTGATCCAAAGTCGGTCATTGAATTTAGCAGCACCGTAGCGAAAACAATGTCGTCTGTTGATCGGGAACCGGACTTGGGGTGGGCAAAGGACTTGAGCACTTTCTCGACCTTGTTTGCAATCGCTTTCATCTGCTCTCCTGCCCCAGGACCAGCCTCGGGCGCAACAATATTCGAAATAGTCCACGTAGAACCAGACAACCGATGCACGGGCTCGCAGACAGGCCAATCTGGCGACCGAGCAGTACTCGTCATCGCCCGCGATTTCGAATCGTCAAGCGAGCCAAAAAGTTCCAATGCAGATCCTAACACGCCCTCAAAAACGGCATCTAACAATCCAGGCCGCCTAATATCACTCGGCGCAATGCCATCGCCAATCTCCCACGCGCTCTTAGCCGTACACCTAGCCCCCCTCAACCTAACAAACGCAACACCCCCATCACCAACCTTCTCCTCCCGACTACCAACCTCGATCCTCTGCTTCCACAAGAAACCAGGCCCATCCAGCGCAAGCGTCTCATACTCCCCACCCTCACCCAACACCGCCCCACGGATATCTTCCGCAGCTGCAAACCGACTCATAGCCTTGACAAGACACCTTCGCATCATGCGGCCGCCACTCCCAACACCAGAGACATTCTCCCACAGGAAGCCCTCGTCCAGGCCACCGGAGGCGACCTTGATAATACGAGCATCACACCTAGCGGCCGACATATCCTCCAACAGCCCCGCTTGGCGTATTGCCAGGGCATCGGCCGTTCTAGCCGTAGGGGCTGGAAGAGATGGATACATCCACAGCCAAGCAATGGGAATCAGACCCAGGCGGTTAGCGACGCTCTCGATTCGCGTGCGCTGATAAGTAGAAAGGATGGCGCCTGCAGATACGGCGTTGGCTTCTGGATGAGCCTGTTTTATGCGACGAAGAAGCGGGACGAGAGACTCGGTCTCGTCCATGGCGGTGGCTCTGGTTCCATAGATACGGGCTGTGTCGACTGCGCCGCCTGTGATGGGTTGGCGGTAGAGGGGGATTTGGAGGGCTGTTTCGTAGAGAGGGATTACACTGTGGCCGATGGTTTGGTACATGAAGCTATCGATGTCTTCTTCTTCGTCATTTTTGCGTTGGTTTGGACTTGCGTTTGCGGTTTTGTTCCGCGGTTCTGGGTAGAGGTTGGCTAAGGCGACCACTTTGTGGCCGTTGCGGATGCAGTGGAGGATCGAGTAGAGAGAATCTTTGCCACCGGAGATTAGGGCAATCACGTTAAGCCCTGGGGCTGAAGGCTGTGCTGCAGACATAACAACTATACGCCCAGGTGTGGAGTCCAAGGTCTCTTTTTCGCGAATTTGGTGGATGTTGCTGGGTGCGGGTGATGGGGGCTTACTTTTTGCTGTCCCCACCTTTGCGTGAGTTTCCGAGGTTATCGATAATCGATAGAGCGATAAGATCAGTGCGACATCCCGAGGTCACGAGACCAGATATCACGGGATCAGATATCACTGCCCTAACTTTTAGGTTTCTCTACTTTTAGTATAGTACTGTTTACCAGGAAAGAGTGTAGTAAGATTATACTTGTGATTTGATGCATGTAAATCAACATCTAGAGATGTGACCTGGAACCAACACAAAGGGGCAATGCAATACAAGGGGGTATGAGTGATGGGCAAGGGTCAATTAACTTATACACGAATGTGACCAGCACACAAAAGCAGATAAAAAGCAAAAAAGCACCAAAAATATTACATCGAATAAGCAGAAACAAGCATGAACGAAACGGTAGAAGGAGAAAAAGAAAAAAGGGTAAAAAAGTCACAAGAATCGAAGTAAACAGGGAGTACACGAAGGGAAATCTCGAAGATTCAAAGTGTGAGGCACATTGCTCACGCCGAATGTGCTGGTCCAGAAGATATTGGAGAGAACAAGTGAAACAAAAGGAAAAAAGGGGGGGAAAAAGAGAAGAACAAGGTGACAAAGGAAATAATATCACACCATTCCCAGCACTGCCGAAGACAGATGCCTTCATCGCTTTATGTCGTTTTTTTTTCTTCCTGGACTCTTCTGCGCCCATGTGCCTTCACCAAAAGAACCGTTCGAGGCAATCCAGCCTGTGTGTATGTGTCCCCGTGCGATATGTCAAAACGCTAAATAAAAAGGGAACGCAAGTTGCTGTGCACCGATGATCCAGTTTCCGACACCAGTGTAAATGCCCGGACGCCAAACCCAATCAAGACCAATATGGTCAAGCTCCCAATAAAAGACTCCGACCGAAGAATGTATGTATTATATATGCAGTAGGAAGTCTCCTGGTCTCATAAAAGAAAAATCATGAAAAGTCCCTTAGGACAAGTCACGCTTGCGCTTCTTCGCCGCTCGGCGATCCACGGGGGAGTACCGATGACTTCAGTAGACCGGGCAGCCTCGTACATGACTTGGCCAAGGGCACCAGCGTCATGTTGATCGTCGAATGAGACAGAACCAGCATCGCTTGCATCGAGAACTCCCATGACAATGGAGCCACCACCGTGGGTGCGGGCGTGCTGTGCGAGGTTGTCACTGCGGGAGAACTTCTTGCCACACTCGTTGCACTCGAACGGCTTGTCCTGAGTGTGGAGAGAGCGGTAGTGGCGCTTGAGGTGTTCCTGGCGACGGAAGCGACGGGAGCACAGAGTGCAGACGAAGGTCTTGGAGGGGTCCTCGGTCAAAGACTGCTTGCGGCCCCGGCGGTTGACTGAGATAGGAGCAGACTCGGAATCATCAACTGATCCGTCATCAGAGCAGCAGTCGCCAGAGGACTCGCAGGCGGCCAGCGCCTTTGCTTCAGCCTCTTCGTCGGCAGCGGTCTTACGGGACTTGCGGTTGCTACGCTTCTTGATCTTGGGCTCCTCGATGGGTTCCTCCTCGCTCTCGGCCTGAGGGTGAGCAGTCTGGGTCCACTCAAAGGATGGCAAACCATTAGGCATGAAAGTCTCGGAATCATCCGAGTCTTCGAGACTGTGCTCGCTCAGGAATCCATCATCCTCCACCAGGTAGGCGTGCATACGCTGGCGCTTGCCACCCATGTAGACGGCGTTGGCGGCAGGGTGGAATTCCACCAGGCGATTCAACTCATCATCAGAATCGAGGTCTGAGAAGCTGTCAAAAGTCGGCAGCGAGCTCAGAGGATCCTGGGTCGAGGAGCTGAAAGAGGGAGATGGGTTCTCGTTGACGGGGAGCGTCACAGACGCACTGCCAACAACGGCACGAGGTTCCTCCTCCTCGCATGAGAGATTCGGTAGAGGAGGGAGATCCTGTGCGTGAACATGGACACAGGGCTCCACGGTGAGCTGGCGGGGATCGCAGAAAGACTGGCTTGATCCCAGATTGTGGGAAGCAAGAATGTCGGTGGGCACGGGTGAGGGGGAGGGGGAAAGCGAGGGGCAGGATGTTGCAGACAGAAGATCGGAGGAGTGCATGTGATTAAGAGAAGGGGGGTGAATGAAGACTGTAGGATGAATTAGCCTTTTGCCCTTGCTTCCCACGATCCACATTTCGTTATCAAAGTGTGATCTATAAAACTCACCAGGCGTCATTGGGGGCGAATCAGAACGCGCCCACTGCGGTGTAGCCAGGAGCTCCTGGTGCACGTCGGTCTCGCATCCCTCCTTGACACCCTCGACCTTATCGAAGGTGAAAAATGTGTCATGAATCGGGGTTGGTAGGGCGCCATGGGCAGACGGGGGGCTGCTGATGGTGCTTCCCGAAGCGGACAGCGGAGGAGTCGAGGGGAAGGAGTACAAGTCGTGACCAATAAAGCGAGTGTCCAATGGCATCAAGCCGGGCGAACCCTGCTGCATGATGATGGTGGGCTTCATTTGCGAGGGCTGTGGAGAGGCAATCGGTGTCAGGCTCATGGTAGCTCCCCGGAAGGCATTGGTGGTGGCCATCTGGTGCATGTTCATCATGGGCTGGGACGAGTAGAGCGGTTGCTCTTGGCCATACTGCATTTGGCTGTAGTATGGGATGTCTGACTGGTAGTGGCCTTGTCTCTGTGAGTCGGAGTAGTATGCGAATGGCTGGCCTTGCACCGAGGTGGGTGCCATATTGTATGGTGAGTCCATTGTGAATGTGTGCTGCAACGATGAGTTAGAAGCAAGAAGCAGGAAGCAAGAAGCAGACCAATGTATATAGATATATATACATACCTGAAGTGTTTTTGAAAGTCCAATTGCAAGTCTCCCGCGGTAGATTAGTAGGATTATAAGTGATTCGAGTCCGAAAGAATGAATGGACTAAGCAATTAGGTTGTATATGTGTTGACGATGAATGAGTGTGTCGAGAAAGGAAGGACAGGTTCTGGGAACCGGGAGACAAAGTACTTGAGGAAGGAGAGTGAGTGATATAGAAGAGAGGATCCCAAATAAGTCCAATAGGAACCCCCAACCCAAAATAGGCAAAATAGTCAAACAAATAAAAAAAAAGATTGGATAGAGAGAGTGTGAGTATGAAAAATAGACAGCGGGGAAAATATAAAAAAAAAGCGAGCGAGAGAAGACAATTGAGGGAAGATAGCAGGCTACGGTGGATAAATGAGTGATCTGCTACTATTTTCTACTTGCCGGGTCACTAGTTTGGGTGTGGGCCAGGAACCGGGTGCTGTTTCTTTTCTGAATTTTAATTTGTCTCAGGAATTCCGATTAAATCGAAAATACACGAATAATCCAATAATCGAATAATCGAATAAGAGATATTCCAGTCCGGGGCGCACATCAAGTGCTCAGTCCCGTCAGACGCGGCCAATCGCATTGATTGAGGAGGAGTTTAGTGGGCTCTGTGGGGTGGAGCACTCAGGAACAATTAAGTTAAATCAATTTGAATTTCCATATTTTGGTTTATTTATGATAATACATCTTTTTTATTATCTTTTACCCAAGTACCGTTTCGGTCCTCATCCCCAAAGGAGTAAGGTGTTGTACCTACACCTCGGCCAAGTACAGGTACCATTCAATCACTACCTGGGCTTATTAACATGTTAGCACGGGGTTGTTTACATGTTTACATTATACCTTGGCAGTCCTTTTGATTTGTATGTTGTACAAAGTCCTCAAAGGCAAAAAGAATGGCCCGAGACCTGATCTAAAAATTGAGGTGTGGCCACGAGGTGCATGATCATTGGACTATATGATGGTGACAGCGCTAATCAATTGCTCAATCCGTCTTATCAAGGCGATGTCGGACAAATAAGAGCGCTCTAACCCAGACGGTCTTCTTTTCGCATTGCTTTTTCGGGAACCAATAGCCCCGAAGCATTGGGGGCCCACGCATCCCGTCCGGTACCGCAGACCAATGTACCCCCGGAGTACCCCCTGTACCTACCTTGCAAAGCTTCTAATGGCAGGCAACATCCAACTACACATAGGAAATTAACAACGGAAGAATACCTTCCCATCTGTCCACTCCAGACGGTATGTTCCGCCGTGATCAACAGGTGGAAAACTTAAAAGTTAAGACCCCAAGGCCCCGCCAATCAGTTGCCAGTTTAGGCTGCCCATCCCCAAGTCGCTCAGCACTTGCCGATCAGGCTATCAACGGTGGCGACCACCGTGCAACCATCTGATTTCGATCGTGAAACGGTCGGCATTGGCCGTACAGTGCTTACTCGGTGCATTCCTGGTCAAATTTCATATGACCTAGATATTGCCCCTCGGTGCGGTCATCACCGAAAATCAAAAAGCCGTTGAACCCTATCAAAGTGGTCTGAACCCATCCATATTGAAGATCTTCATATAGAGTACGGAGTATAACGTTCGTGGTTCGTAAGTTGTACGTACCTGGTTTGCCACATGGGTCCTATATTGGAAGTAAACAAACCCGTGTTTATTTTCCGGTCGCTGCAAGGGCTATGCCATTTGGCCCATACAAACAAATCTCACATTGTACACGTCAATGGCATCAATATTTCAAGCAGAGCAAAACATCAAAGCAAGAAAAACAGGAAACACTAATTCCTATGTTGTATGCAATATGCAAGCCGAGAAAGGCGAGATTTCAGTCTACTTGTGCGGCCTACTGCAGGAACCAGCCTGTGGGGGGCAATATCACACAGGCAGCTACATAAAACATGCTTATTGGGTGCTTGGCCCTCGAAAGGCAAGGCTCAGATGCAGTTCCCTTTGATGCTCAAATCGTCCAGGGTGTACTTCGTACCGACTTCGGTTGCCCTAAGTCCATTGATTGGATCCCCAGACTACATATGCAAAAGTATGATCAAAGACATAAGGCTAATATTGGTGCTTATATTTGGGGCCCAAGTCCAGTACATTAGTGAGATGCTCGTTAATGGGGTCTCACCTATGATGCATCTTATTGGGTCAATGTGGTCGCTAAGTGATGTGTTCCGATTTGCAGGGTGATGTGATAGCACTTTTTGTCTCACTGACCTGACCTGTAGATCCGGGGGAATATGCGCTTAGTGTATGTCAGCGCACTACATGGGCGTCATCGTCACTACCTAGGTATGGTAGGCATGTGTTGTCTGTGACCGGTCTCATCCCAAGTTGAAAACTCGGAAGCACAAACAGATGCATCATCCGACACATCGACTAACACAGCCCAATAACATACAGTAACCGGCCACGCAAGCAAGGTCCAGTTCTATTCTTATTTTCCAGGTCGTGGCACATTCTCTACGCCGTACATTAAAATACAAACTATCCACCAAAATCATTCAAATTTTCCCAAGTCACTAAGTCACTAATCCTAATCTCCAACGTCCCTTTTTTTTCTCCCTCGAGTCCAGAGCGAAAAACGACACTAATATCCCGGCACTTAATGAATGTCAGGAACCCGGAGCATCTCGTGCGTGATTGGCCACTTCTAAAGATAGTGCGCCCCTCCAATTGGCTAATCCCTTCACAGGCAAAGCGTCGGCGCCGGCGGAGATTTGTCTTCATCCGCTACCAATGAGACTCATACAAAGCACGCCAATGTGGACTTGGGGAAATTGGGGAGTCACTGATAGATATTGATTGCCGTTCCACTCCAACAAAGATAGTCTACGGTGTGAAGTATGGAGACTCCGTACTCGTACGGACACACTGGAGACACCCGGGTCTCCGGGCCTCGAGTGTTTCCTTTTGGGCTTAGATACTTCCCGTGGACATGGAAAAGGGTCATGCATGGAAGGCTGTCAAGTCCTTCTTCGAGAAGTTCCAAGGTCCATGTCCACTTTCTAATCTTGATGCTAATTACTCCGTGGTACCTTTGCGCCACCCAATTTCTTTATTCCGCGAGCCTACAGAGTTCAGACTCGACATCTCAAAATTTCGCCCTGGCCTTGAGAGTATGGACTTGCTTTTTGATAGCCCGAATCCCTGCCGCCACCGTTGTCGCACAGACGGCACGACTTTATTTTGGCTTTTGCGAATCCCACGGGCTCGTTGCCAACGCTTATGTAGAACGATGGATAGAAGCCGGAAGCCGAAATCTAGGCGCTATTGAATTGAAGTCCACATTTCCCTAGTCGTCACTCGAGAGCTCCAACAGCTCCAAGAGCTCCACGCCCAGGAGCCTATCAGAGAGCTCCCCCCGAGAAAAGTCCAGGGGAAATAAATCAAGACTTCCACGCGGGATAAAACAAGCTACCTTCCAAATCACTTCTACCCAACGGCCCTTCTAGCCTTGACACCAGCTCTTAGGCAGAGTGGAGAACATGGAGATGGAGGCGGGCGGGCAGTGCCTAGTTTCCAACTAAAGGCCGCGGAAGGCCGTCCAGGGAAGCCGGACCCCCCCCCAAGTGGCTCTCGAATGGAGACCCAAGTGGAGGAAGTGTACGGAGTACGATTGACGGTGTACGGAGTACACACCTCTTCTTTGTCCAGAGAGAAAGAGGAAAAAGCAAAACAAAGAGGCAAATTGATCAATTTTGATCTATTACTCCCAATTACCAAGTAAAATGGACTCGCCCTGATCGCAGAATCGACCGTGCGATTGCGAAAAAAAAAAACCTGTGCTTGGCCGAGGATGCGAACATCTTCCCAGTTCCCCGACGAATCATGCTCGGCTGCTGGCGGTTAACTATGGGGGATGTCTGTGAGAGCTTCCCGTCTACGATGCGCGTAGCCGTTTGGCGATCATAATATGCCCATATCCGAGGATCAGCCCGTCAGCAAAAATTGATCAGTCTATCTGTCATGGTTAACCCCGGACGAGATATATGCAGAGTCTCGGATTAGTCTTTCCCCGGAGGGGGCGAGACCGAGAGAGCCCGCAGCAAGGGTTCAGATTTGGATGTCGCGATAGGTACGGAAGTAATGTACCGTTGAGGATCTCCCATGCATCGGTGGGTTTGAGCATAACGTCCCTGGTCCACCAGGGATTCACCGTATCCTACACATCCAAACCCACAATTTGCAATTGGTAATCCACAAGGCCAAAGAAAAATAGAATTTCGCAAACGTAGGTGCCAGCGCCACAAGGATTGTGGGTTTGGGATACATCAGACGATATGAGACTTAAAATGTCGCAAAATGTCACAAAGAGATGTGGATAGTAGATCCGGAAGGAATTCACGGCCCTTCTGCGCTTGAGTTTTTGTCAACGGTTCTTGGCAGAAGACTCGCAGGGATTAGTTCGCCATTGAGGACCACCGAGGCCATTCACATGGGACCACCGAGGCTTCTAGATAGAGGCTAGAAAAAAAAAAGTTCATTGTTCGCGTAGTACTCTCTACTCTGTAAGCAACATACAATACATCATATGTTATTATTATTAAAGGATTGAAAGAGTTTGGTTCTCAATCATGCCATGGAGCGGAAAAAGGCTTTTTGTTGGAAGTCTCCAATGTTTGCCATGCTATGCTATACCGTATACTGGCTCCAATAATGGACAGACCCAGCCATCCAGACCGACTACTATGTTGCTGGCACTCTCTGCTACGGTGTAGGCTCTACTACGGTGTAGGGTTGTCAAATCCCGAGACCAGCGCGGGTACCAGCGTTGGGGCGCTTGAGATTACTAGCCCTCCAAAGTGGACAGGAACCATTCCAATTCCAGAAGTTCCCCAATTCAGATGTCCAAGACGCGCAAGGACCCCAGATTTTATGACCGTTGGCCACTGGAC